TAGATAGATAGATAGATAGATAGATAGATTGTAAGGAAGGATGGGAATTTGATGTACAGATAGATAGATAGATAGATAGATAGATAGATAGATAGATAGATAGATAGATAGATTAAAAGGGAAGAAAGAAAAGTGAGAGAATGTTTGATAGAAAGAATGAAAAGAGAAGGATTGATAAATAGATAGTAAGGAAGGAAAAGTGATAGATAAATATTAAAGTGGCAAGTGATAGATAGATAGATAGATAGATAGATAGATAGATAGATAGATAGATTGTAAGGAAGGATGGGAATTTGATGTACAGATAGATAGATAGGTAGATAGATAGATAGATAGATAGATAGATAGATATCGACTCCAAGCTACTTTTTTTCTCAAAAACTGTCTTCCCGTAATTTAATTACTTCTCGGTTAAGCATTCATTTTCTTCTTGGTTTCATTTTAATAAAATGCCCAACTTACGTCTAATAAGTGAAACGCAGCAAAAGCGTCACGATTTACATTAACTAAAATATGGGGCTTGCATCCGGGTCACGCTGAAAGCAATGGATGCCGTCAAATTTTTTTTTTCTTCCTATGATCCATGTCAGGTAAGGATTTGCACGGTCATAGCCCTCCACAACATCCTCTCATTTGCCCTCGATGTAAATACGCTACTTGTTCTGTCGTTCGTTTATTCAAACACGTCATTTAATTTACTCATTGTTCTTCGCTTTTTCTTTTGCCTTCTTTATACTCTGAATATTATTTGTAATCTCTGAATGTTAAATTCCCCAAACCCACCTTCTCGTTTATTATTGATCCGATAAATTTCCGGAGTCTCTTCTTTTATATTCCTTTACAGCATTTCCTATTTTTCTTAAGAGGCACGTAGGAGTAAGGGATAGCAGCTCGGAATCGGAGATCCGAGTTCAATTTCCAGTCGAATACATTACATTCACTTACGTGCTAGTACCCTTGGGAAAAGTATGAATCCTCTTCTTCTCCCACAGCTATAGGTAAATAGCAGGATAGACCGGGTTCTATAGCCTTGGATGACAACTGGTCTACCGCATAAAGAAATGGCAATCTACTGCGGGGAAAAAATCTGCCTTGTCAGTCATTTATCAAAAAATACATGATCGCTTAAGCGTGTATTACGCATGACACATAACTATTTTTCTTAAATTCCACGTTTCTTACATTGTCTGTCCATGATATCTTAAATTTTCGTCGAAAGAAGTACATTTGTGCGTCTTCAAATCTCTTTATCATTGATGTATCGAAGTTAACCAGCGATTATTCTACAGAGTTCTCAAATGGCTGACCTCTTGAGAACAGCGGTTAATTAGCCCCTGGCATCTGTATCTCAGATTAGCTGTTGATTCGCCCTTAACTTCGTTAATGGTGCTTCATGAGATGCACAGAAATTGGAATGGGTGAACTCGTCTGTTGCGTTCACTTTTGAAATTGTGCCTTTGTGAGAACATGACCCGGTCGCTTCTTCACCTCACCAGATATAAGTTAAATAGCATAGCAAATTTCGCCTTGTAGCCTTGGGTAGCAATCAATCTAAGAAAAGTAAAGTGTAAGGAACACTGTGATAAAAATGTTTTCTTCAGTTCAATTAAATAGGGCTAAGTATAAATTACGGGAAGTAAAGGGTGCTCTAATAAACTGGACCGATTTTAATGTGAATTAAGTTTAAGCGTCTCATTATTTTTTTTTTCTTTTTCTTCCAGATTTGGCGGACATTTGGGAGATGTTATTTTTCGCACATAAGTGTTGTGACTTAAATAACGTAATCCAATACAGAAATAAATAAATCTTCACCAATAACACTGATTTATTTACTGCTGACTTTGATCCGTCTTAATGAAACACCCTTATATATAATCCGTCTTAATGAAACACCCTTTACATGCAAAAATTTATCCCGATGTAAACACTGTGCTCATATTTGTTTTTATTACTGGGTTTTGACCGTTGTGCTCTCCAGCTTTCTCCAGGTGTATGTCGATCCGTGTCGATCAGGAGAGTTTCGAACTGAACCTATTAGTTAATCCAAGTTATACACCCAGAATCGTTCGACGGGACAAGAGCCTCGTGTATTAAAATTTTGATTCGTGAATTTTGGGATATAGTAAATGCAAGTTCAATCTCTGGGTCGGGTAGTACAGATTTAGACTCAGTGGGAAAAAAAGGACAAGAAATAACCAAACAGTACTAAAAAGAACAAGATTAGATCTACCTAAGCATGGATGGCGAAACAAGAATAATCTACCGTCGTGGATTAAATAAAAGATCCGGTTAAAAACTTGAAGAAGACCGCAGCGCATAATGGCCAAAACAGCGTGAATAACAACAAAGATTAGGACCACAAATAATGTGCATTAATTTGTGTATATTATATTGTATATTATGTATATTATTATATAATTATGTTGTATATTATGTATATTATTATGTTGTATATTATGTATATTATTATATATATTTATATTGTATATTATGTATATTATTATATATATTTATGTTTATCACTTGTATAACATAAAATATCGTGAATACCAGCAAAGATTAGGACAATATTCCGAATGTAAATATTGTTCTTTTTGGTTAAAGAGATGCCTATAGAAAGTAAATTGTTGATATTGCTTTCTAGAATGAATTAACGACGAAGTTTATCCAGTGTTAGTGAAATATTTTGTCAAAAAATTAAAAAAAACATTGAACAATTAAATTGTGCTGCCCTGATTCGGCTTCATATATTTTTTAAAGCATAACTCATAAAATCCATTTCATGGTTCACATCGTCAATTGCAAGCATAATCGACTCAATAAATGCGAATTTCTCTCCTTTGACCTGTTATGAAATTGCCATAAATAAACACCTTTATGTAAAAATATTTCTGTGAAACTTTTATTAATGCATATGCATAATTGTCTTGCACACACACACACACACATATTCATAATATTATTAAAACTTTGAATATTCTCATAAACACAGAGCATATTCCAACGCTGGAGAAACAAAGTTAGAAAATAAAAAATTATATCGTGTAAGAAATGTCTGGAAATATTAAAATTTTGTTCTACATTATAGTAAATTTGCATTAAAATGAATATTGAAATTCATAGAACAAAATCTGTTTATCATAGATATCGTGATAGTCGCGCCAATAAATTTTCTTTTCTGTAGCTTACGGCTTCATCACGTTGAAATATCGGTTTTCATAAAACCACTGAAGTTAAGCAATGTCGAGCCTGGTCAGTACCGAGGTGGACGAACAGTTGGGAATACTTGGTGCTGTAAGATTTGATCTGTGTCTTATGTAATAAATTGGAAATCTGAGAGCCGAGTTCCAATCCAGCCAGGTCGTTATATTCACTTACCCGCAAATACCCTTGGTAAAGGTATGAATGCACCTCTCCCCCACCACTTATAGATTAAATCGTACAACTTTAACAGTAAATTATTGTCTCCAAAAAACGTCTTACAATATAAAATACTTTCTGGCTTTAAATAATCTGCAAAGTGTTGATAAGCCGTAAAAAATCAATCAATAAATTGATTGTCTGTGAATTACTATGAATTCATTGGAAAGACTGTGGAATATTTTCTCGTTATTCTCCACGGCTTTTGATTTCAGTTTAGCTTGGTGGAGTAATGAATAGCTCGGATTGAGAAATCGAAGAGCCGAGTTCGAATTCTCATAGAATCCATTACATTCATTTACGTGCTAATAACCTTGGGAAAGGTATTAATCTTCTTCTCCTCCCAGCTATGGGTAAATAGCAGGACAGACCAGGTTCTATAGCCTTGGATGGCAACTGGTTTACCGCAGAAAGAAATGGCAACCTACTGCGGGAAAAAAAATTCTGCCTCGTCAGTTATGTATCGAAAGATACATGATCGCCTAAACGTGTATTACGCATGGCACATAACTGACTGATTTGACATCCATAACTAGATTGGGCATCTCATCCTTTTATTTAACCCATAGCTAAGTGAAGACAAAATGGATCCATGCCTTTTCCAGAAGCATTAATTCGAAAGTCAACTCAGTAGACTAAACCGGGACTTTACCTAGGTTCGCCGATTCCACTTTCCGCGCCAGTAATCGTCACGCTATTCGGATAAACACCAATGCGATACAACTTCCTAAATCGATAGTATTTTTTTACATATCTGCGAAGCAATCTTTCACCTTTAAGCTCTTTGGCATACAGTTTGCCATCCGAGATAACTAAATTTAACTAATTTTTCAATACTCTTGCACAATTCTCATTGGTACAGACAACGATAATGTCGGCAAAAGCTAGTCTATTTTTTTATTCCTGCTGATTCGACGGTAATGAGACATTCATTAGGCCCTGTTTCCAACAAATATCGCAAGCATCTTCGTTTATCTGTCGTGCAATACCCTCTACAGCGTCAAAACGATCCACCATGATGAATCGTTGAATCACCTGATTCTACCGAAAAGTTGATTTATGTGCAAAGCACTAGCGTTTTCTGAACCAGTAATATAAGACAAGGCTGTGTCTTCTCACCGGATTATTCAAACATTGCCCATTGGAATAGCGAGAGAAAGTATTGAAAAACAACAAAGAAATGATTGTTGAACTGTTATGTAATATCGGCCCTCCAATATTGCAGTGAATGCTGAACAGTTTCCTCATAAGAGTGTTCAGGCAACAGCGATACAAGGATGCTGAGAATGCCACGGAGTGAACATATGTGTAACTATGTAAGTTGTAAGGAAAATGGAAACAAAAAGGACACTTATACTTAGAATCAGAAAGAGTTAATTGAAATCTATTGGGTACACAATGAGGAAAGTAGGCTTGGAGAAATTGACACTCATATGATATCGAAGGCTACAGGGATTTTAGAGAGCAGCGAAATACCTAATTAACGGGCGTGGGTAAATGGTTTGCAGGACAGGAATTAGGAGTGATAACCAAACAAACAGGAACCTTTTTACTCAGAACTACAAAAGACAGCAAATTCTGGAGAGCAATCATTACCCACATCTTGAAGGAACACACCATTCAGAAGTAGAAGATTCTAGAAATTAGATATATTAACATTTTTAACACTAGAAATTTATCATGTCTTCTATTTTAATGGAATCACTAGCTACCCGAATGATTCATCTATTTTGCGATGTCTTGCCAATGTGATATTTTAGAAAACAATGCTGCGGACCAAAAAGGAATATTTGCTTATATTTCGATGTTGACATATTTGATTATTATTATTATTATTATTATTATTATTATTATTATTATTACTATTTAGTTCGTAATGATTGCCATTATTATTATTAATACTATTATTTAGTTATTAATGATTGTCATTATTATTATTATTATTATTATTATTATTATTATTATTTAGTTGGTAATGATTATCATTATTATTATTTACTTAGTAATGATTGTTATTATTATTAATAATTAGTAATGATTGTCATTATTATTTTACTTAGAAATAATTTTCATTATTACTTTATTATTATTTAGTAATGATTGTTATTATTATTATTTAGTTAATATTTTGCATTATCATTATTAATATTAATATTATTATTTAGTTAGTCATAAGTGTCATTATTATTATTTAGTTAGTAATGAGTGTCATAATTTTTCATTATTTTATTAGTTAGTTAGTAATAACTGCTATTATTACTATTTACTTACTAATAATAATTGATTTTCATTATTATTAGTTTATTATTATTTAGTAATGATTATTATTTTTATTATTAGTATTTAGCTAGTAATGTTTGCCATTATTGTTATTATTATTACTATTTAGTTAGTAATGACTGTCATCATTATTATTTAGTTAGAAATGATTGTCATTATTATTATTATTATTACTTAGCTAGTAATGGTTGCCATTATTATTATTTAGTTGGAAATTATTTGCATTATTATTATTTTATTAATATTTAGTTAGTATTGATTGTTATTATTTTATTATTATTATTTAGTTAGTAATGATTGCCATTATTTTTATTATTATTATTTAGTAATGATTACCATAATTATTATTATTATTATTATTATTATTTAAATTATTATTATTATAGTTAGAAATGATATTCATAATTATTATTATTATTTTATTATTTAGTTAGAAATGATTGTCATTATGATTATTTTATTATTATTTAGTTAGTAATGATTGTCATTATTATTGTTATTTAGTTAGTGATGGCTGTCATATAATC